GGTCCACGGGAAAAATGGAAACTAGCCGGAAACTAGGTAAACTTTAAACATTCATAACTTTTTCATTACTCAACGAAATCAAGTGATTCAAAAATGAAAATCATACTTCTCAACGAGATGAAGAGAGTGGTATCTTTTTTGATGGCTAATTTGCCGTGGTTTGGCCGGAAATGCCTCCATGCATCATCATGTGTGTTAGCTACCCTTATGAGTTATATTCCTTACATTGTGGCCAATTCCTTAATATCTGCAAAATTTGGAATACTCCCTTCCAGTCTGTTGAAGCTAAGATCTCTGCAAATGAATATGTATACAAATAATCAGAAGTAAATTAAGCAAATCTTAAAAACATAAATGAATCAACCAGTACGTAGTCTGTTAGTGTGAATAATAAATAGAACACTGTCTGAACACCAAATTCACCATCATGTTTTGGACAAATTTAGAATGTGCTGCTTAACTGAAAGTTACATGTTTTAAAGCTTATTATGTGTAAGGTCAAGCAAACATTTTAAGTCCACAAATCTCAAAGTGTAAGGTCAAACTGCTCATAGTGTTACCAGTTTGTTATACAATATTAGTAATGTTGATGCACAAAATCGGAGGTCTTGGAACAACGTAAATCCGACCGTGAATCTGCAAGAAATGTAAATGACATAAGATGTATCGTGGTTCACCCCAAGGTTTGGGCTACGTCCACACTGATTGTATTTATGTGAGAGTATTTGTGAGGGAGAGAATGTGAGAGCTTTGCTCTAGATAGGAGAGACTTAGGGTTTGTGAGGGTGAGGAGGCCCTTTTATTGAATAAGGGCTCCTCCCCTAATTACATATTTGCCCCTTCCTTTATTACATAATTACATTTAAGTCCCCTGAATATTTATACGAGGTCTAAATATGAGGCCCTAAATATGGTATAAACAGTAGTCCCCCAAGTCTTCAGTCAATAGAGTCTTTTGGCTGGAGACTTGAAATTCAGTCCATGTGTGGGCCGAAGTAACTAGATGCTATCTTGAACTGATGCTCGATATAAGGTAGTGCTCAATCTGAAATGATGCTCAACTAGAAGTAGCACACGCTGCGAGGCTGCTCGGCTCGTGGCTTATGTTGCCTTGGTTGGCTCGGCTTGCGGCGTTTGAAGGTGGGAGAGTCCCTTTTATAGAATAAGGGCTCGCTCCTCAATACATGAATGATGGGCTAGAGTTGATGCTCTCTAATGATGGTGTGGGAGTCACTTTTATAGAATAAGGGCTCGTTCCTCAATACATAAATGATGGGCTAGAGTTGATGCTCGCGACGAGGCGGTTGCTCAGTAGGCGGCGATGCTCTCTAATGGTGGTGAGGTAGTCCCTTTTATAAAATAAGGGCTTGCTCCTCAGTACATGAATAATGGGTGCTCTCTAATGAAAGTGAGGGAGTCCCTTTTATAGAATAAGGGTTCGCTCTTCAATACATAAGTAATGGGCTAAGTTGATGCTCGCGACGAGGCGGTTGCTTAGTAGGCGGCGATGCTTTCTAATGGTGGTGAGGGAGTCCCTTTTATAAAATAAGGGCTCGCTTCTCAGTACATGAATAATGGGTGCTCTCTAATGAAACTGAGGGAGTCCCTTTTATAGAATAAGGGTTCGCTCCTCAATACATAAGTAATGGGCTAAGTCCCCCGAGTATTTTTCATGAGGCCCAGTTAAGGCCCAATATATGGTACATAATGTAGTCCACCAAGTCTTCGGTCAATAGAGTCTGTTGGCTGGAGACTTCAAATTGAATCTATGTATGGGCCGAAGTGGCGGTTGTTTGGAGACGGTATTTGTATACCCTGCACTGAAGCTTTGTAGGTGAAGCTTTGCAAGTGAAGCTTTGAAGCTGGAGCTTTTGTAAATGAAGCTTTCGAGGTTGGAGCTTTTGTAAATGAAGCGTTTGAAGCTGTTGGAGCTTTTGTAAATGATGCTCATGAATGTTTATGTTGATTGACATGAGTGATGCTCATGGATGTTGTCATGAGTGATACTCATGAATGTTAACATGAGTGATGCTCATGAATGTTGACATGAATGATGGTCATGAATGTTTATGTATGATTGTCATGAGTGATACTCATGAATGTTTATGTATGAATAACATGAGTAATGCTCATGTATAATTTGGAGTACTGGTCGTACTTTTGATCACCTAGTGGTGGCATGAAGGAGAGTACATGTTGTACATTTCATCACCTAGTTGGTGCCATGAATGGCTAGTTGCCAAATTATAGTATGGGTTGTACATCTCATCACCTGGTTGGTGGCATGAATGGCTAGTTGCCAAATGATATTAGAGTAGGGGTTGTACATTTCATCACCTGGTTGGTGGTAATAGCGGCGGGTTGCTGAATAATTTTGGAGTACTGGGCGTACTTTTGGTCTCCTGGTTAGTGGTAATAGCGGCGAGTTGCTGAATAATTGTGGAGTATTGGGTGTACTTTTGATGACCTGGTTGGTGCTATTTTAGGCTTATGGGCCTTCGCTCTCTACACAACATTCCAGCCCATTTATTTTGGGCTTTTTTTTTTTTTTTTTTTTACTTTCTGATGGGGTTTATACATATTACCCTCTGATGGGGTTTATACAGATGTCTCCGAAAGATAATAAAAATAAATTACATCATTCGGGTGGGGTGTTTATTCCTTGCTTTTGCACTGTTTTTCTGCTGCCCTTTTGCTTTCTCTTTATTTTTCTTTCTTTTGGCAGATGATAGACAAGGGAATAATCTTTTGCTTTTGCTTTCTCTTTCTGCTCCTTCTCTGTCCACCCATGTTCTATGGCCTTGGAGACCATTTGACTTTAACCTTTTAATTGCCATTGCTTTTCTTGCTTTTCTCTAAAATGACAGCTGCTTGGTATCCATAGCTTTTATGACTCCAGTTGGTTTTAACACTGATATTTCCGTGGTAATAATTGCAGCCAAAGTGACAGCTGCTTTCTGCTTTTCTTGTTGATGAATGCCTCGAGAAATTGCTGCTTCGCTCCTGGCAAAGCAGAATGTTTGTGGAAGACAGCAATAAAGAAAGCTCCTCTGTTTTGATCATGTGGGACTATCCTCATGCAGCGTTCTAATGGAAAATCAGAAACTTCCTCCTATTGTTCATTGGCTACAGTTGCAGGATCATCAGTTGACTGCAATGCATCTTTAACATTTCCACCATTCTCATGCTTTTCTCCCACTTCCATACTATCATTTGCGTCCATTTGTTCTGTAAAGCTTTTTTTCAGATGGAAACATGCTGGGAACAATGACACTTTTACGATATTTTCTGACATTTTTGTGGGAAGCTAACCACCTACCCTTGAACACCGGCCCCAAGATCCCTTTAAACCCACTGTAAAAAAACATAGAATTTAGGGGACAAAATTCGTATACCTTGTTTGCGGTAGGCGAACCGGCCCTTCGAAACCAGGTAAGGGTCCAGGCGTTCTGGCAGCCGCTCGTGATCTCAGCAAGGAAGAGGAGAGTGAGGATGGCGTGGGCCCCATGGCGGACGGCGTAGTAGGTGGTAGTTCAGATCGTGGGGTTCAGGATGACTAACTACAGCTTTCTCACACTCTAAAAAACCATGGATCCCGAAATGGGATCTGAGAGCAGGCAAGCTTAAAACTAGGAGAAGATGCACCTGATTTCCATCTTTTGCACATTGAAGTAAGGTGGAAGAAGGCAGATGTTGGTAGTCTCGACAACATCATTTCGAGAAGGTCTTAACCCATCAGACCCGAGAAATGCAAACGGGTCGTGAGAGTTGTGGTGGCAGAGATGCAGGGCGAGCCCACTGAGGGTGCCAGGCATGCCTTGGACGTCATTCATTCTCACTTTGAGAGCGTTCTGGGCTGTCGCTTTAGTCGTGGGTGGGGCCTTTTCTGGATGGACCAACGGGTGGCTTACATACATACAAAATCTCTCTGCGCACCCAATCTTTTGGTGACTGAAGCTTCTTGTAGTGCTGCCGGCGGAGGTCGGCGAATTGTTGAGCTGATCGATCGTGTCCTCAAACAGGTCCTCGCAGACGGCCAGAGCTTTCTCCAGGCGGGCGTCGTTGACCCGGTTCATGACCCGATCTATGACCCGAGAGTGCAGACCTGGTCCATGGCCTGACCCATTCATCATCTTCGTCAGGTTTGAACGCTTCCCAATCTGCCAGCGAGTGCTCAGTGTCGATTCGAACGAGATCGATGCCCCGCGATCGGGCTAGGTCGATCAGCGACCCTGGGATGAAGCTTTGCCGCTTTTTAAGTTTGTCGGACGAAGAAGGTTGGGGTTGATATCTGGTGCTTCAGAAACACATGGAGGTGAAGAAGTTTGGGGTTGATCTGGACCGTTCGATTTGTATCTTTACACCACCAAACACTATTTATCAGATCTCTATATGAGGATACAGAAACAAATAGAGAGAGAAAAAGAGAGGAGATAACATGGTGGCTTGTTGTTTGTGGGGATTTTCTGGGAAAGATTTGGGTTCTTGGTTTCTGCAGATTCATGGCGGTGATGAAAAAAATGAAAGAGAACCGACATAGCTTTGTGTCGATTCCCACAGACGGCGTCAAATGTTGATGCACAAAACCGGAGGTCTTGGAACAACGTAAATCCGACCGTGAATCTGCAAGAAATGTAAATGACACAAGATGTATCGTGGTTCACCCCAAGGTTTGGGCTACGTCCACACTGATTGTATTTATGTGAGAGTATTTGTGAGGGAGAGAATGTGAGAGCTTTGCTCTAGATAGGAGAGACTTAGGGTTTGTGAGGGTGAGGAGGCCCTTTTATAGAATAAGGGCTCCTCTCCTAATTACATATTTGCCCCTTCCTTTATTACATAATTACATTTAAGTCTCTCGAGTATTTATACGAGGTCTAAATACGAGGCCCTAAATATGGTATAAACAAGTAATAATCTAGAGCTACAGTGTAAAACCAATTATTAAGACGACCATGTCATGAAAAAATGGAGAATAATAGATAGAAGAATTGCAAAACAGTCAGACTTGTCAAGGTAGAGATATATTCAGGCATTTCTCCGGTTATATTGCAGCTCCTTAACATCCTGCAATTTGAACAACCAATATTCGAAAATTAGTTTTCATCTGCATGCGTTATGCTAATAGAAATATATATAAAACCTAAAATATGGCTCACAATTTATTAATGCCCGTCATGCTTGATAAGTTTGGAAAAGCTGAACTCTCACCGCTTAAGTCACTAATCCTTCTGCAAAAGGTTACAGCATGATAACGTGTTGGAATACAAGTATCTTCATAAATCCATTTTTCTCTCTAAATTAGAAAGACGCAAGGAGATCATGCAAATTAAGATAACTCATAGCTTAGAAGGCAGGACTCACAGATCTGTCATATTATTCAAGGCAGAGAGACTAGATGGAAGGGGGCCTTCAAGATCACTCGCTTGCATCTCTCTGTAAACAACATATTTGATGGGTTTAGGATTACACATGAAAATATTTCAGTTGAGAATTTAAAAAGTGAAAGAAAAGAGATCTCTTACAAAGCCCGGAGGTTTTTCCAACTTCGAAAGTAGTCAGGTATTCTTCCAGTGAAGTTATTACTGCCAATCTGGCTGTAAATAATGCCACAAAAAGCTGAAAGATTAAATGACATAAACTAGTTATAAAATTACGTTATTACCCAATCAAGAAGGCATACAAAATTCTTAAGAATGGTACCTTTATCGACGGCTAATTTGCCATGGTTTGGCCGGAAAACGGTTCGAAATTGGCTAGCTCGAGACCAATACAGCCACTTTTGAGCCTTTTTCCGGCCAAATCATAGCTATTAAGCCATAAAAAAGGTATCATTCTCTTTGTCTCATCGAGAAGTATGATTTTCATTTTTAAATCACTCGATTTCGTTGAGTATTGAAGAAGTTATGAACGTTTAAAGTTTACCCAGTTTTTGGCGAGTTTTCCAGTTTTCCCGCGGACTAGTCACCTTTCAGGCTATTTTCTGACCATTATCGGAAACCATTGGGCTTTCCAATGGTATAATCTTGTTCTACACTTTCCTATCTTCATTTTGATATATTATGGGTCGAATTTGGTTAAGAAACGATTGAATTACGAAGCTTTGAAAATTGCCCAAACTTTCGGCCAAGAGCTCCAAGACACGTAACAAAGTTTTTAATGGAATGACCAAAATAATGGATGGTGGACAATCTCAGGGACAATTTCTATTGATTTTCCATCTCAGAGACCAAAGTGATATGTTATGCAAATCTCAAAGACCATTTTAGTTTGAAAGCCCCCAAAAAAAAAATCTAACTTGATCTTTCTCTTTCACGGTGCAACTGCAACCTAGAAGCAATATATATATATACATATATGTAAATTCAAATTAATTCAAGAATGAGATTTGTAAATCTATCTTATTCTTGATAACCTTTTATTATTCATCTCTATCATGCCTCTTATTTAAGTGTTCGTATTTTTTTTTTATTAATTATCTCGATTAAATTTAATAGTATAGATGACCAGGTTACCATGTAACGATTAATGTTGTGCATGTTCGGAAGTACTTTTAAAATGATTGAAATTATTTTGGTGAAAAGTGTTTTAGATTCCAGTGAAATTTTAGAAGAATCACCAATTATGTACTTCTTACAATAAGCACTTCAAGTTGTTTTTTAGGATTTCACTTACATTTTAACTAAAGATTGGTTCTAAAAATACTTTCATTGAAAGTGTCTTTAGTCATTTTCAAAACACTTTCAAACACACTATTATCAATGAATATGTTATTATGATGTTTTGGTTAGTAGTTTGTAATTGTTATCAGCCATTTTTTTCTACATTTGTGAAAAGCCTCTCTTCACTTGAAATTCAGTGGGTTGCTACTCGCGACGTATGAAATTTTTATAATTATAGCTCACTACACGCGTACAATGTTTAATGTTAATTTTTACGTTTATACTTGTCAAAAGACATTTATTTTAATGTTTTTAGTTAACAAATAGTTTGAACCTTTGCATTGTTAATGATTTATTATGAGATGCCCAACGTACAATGTTTATTGGTTTTACATTTGTACTTGACCAAGTATATTTCCAAGCAAACTCAAATAATATAGTAGGGCATGGTAAACAACGATATTAAGGGAGCATTTTTGCTCACCCATGTGTCATTTTATCTAACTGTAGTTAACTATCGCATTAAATGTAACTTTTTCAATTTTGAAAAAAAATTAATAGTAGTTAAGAAAAATGATACATGGCAGATGATTAGGTGTATGGTAAGCGTACACCATAGTCTACGATGGTGAACAAAAATGCTCCCCGATATTAAGCAAACCCCACTTGAAATTCAAAGGAAATAGATACATAGTAAGTCCAATAACCATCCAGTACAATCTCAAAATTAAAAGGGATGGCATTGCAAATTTGCAATGGAATGGGCAAGAACGGCATACCGTCCAATTAGGGGTCTTGTGAAGACATATGTCTTATAATCATTGGCTATCATATAATCATTGTCACGTCAGTCAAAGTTGTTAGAATATTTGTTTGGCTGTTAAAGATTTGTTAGTTGATTAATTAATTACAAGTAAGCTTCTACTGTATTCAATATATATGTTAGGAATTGCAACTCACAAATGCAATATGGCCAGTCATATTTATAGAAATATAGAGCATTATTTCTCTCTAAACTTCTCTCTGGTTGTTCATCTTTCTCAATTCTTTATTGTTCTTTAATTTTCCCCAGTGTAGTTAACATCTTGCTTAATCTTCTTGAAAAAAGCATGAATGCAATAAGCAACATCTCTGCATCAAACAAAACACCCCAAATGTAAAACTCACATCTTTGGATCAAAGTTGAACCACCCATTGGATAAAACAACGAATCTGAAAATTTTGAAAATTTAGAAAACTGACTTCTGAGATGTCTCTCTTTGGGCGGGCACTCGACAGTCGACGTGGTTGGTGGCTTTGACTATCGCAACATCCAAATCCTATTCTTAGAAAACAAACTTAAATCCAAAAATCAAAATCCAATTCCTTCGGATTACCAAAATCTAATCTTTATTGTTTTCTTCTAATTAGTTAAATCAACGGAGATTAAACAAAAGGAAAAGGAATTGGTACCGCGTAAATCGCTTTTGACGTGGGCAAGGCCGACTTTTGGAGTCCTTGAGGTACCGTTTGGTACGTGGAACGGGACGGGACGGGATGGAAAGGGACGAACCGTTCCGTCCCATGTTTGGTGCGCTTAAAATCTGTGGAACGGGTTGTCCCATAGAATGAAATTTGGCTAATTTTTCGTTCCGCCTCTTCCTCCTGGAACGATCCATTCCACATTCGTGGAACACAAATTTATAACATTTTATGACAAAATTTCTCCTTATCTTTTTCAATATTTACATCATCAATTCCGTCCTGTTCCGTTCCGTCTTATTCTGTCCTGTACCGTCCTGTCCTGTTCCGTCCCGTCCCATCTCGTCCCGTCTGCGTACCAAACGGTACCTGAGAAGCATCGTAACCATTCCACGTCTGAAGCGTCCCCATTTTTCTCTGCTTCTTCTTCTACTACTGTACAACCCCAATACCTCCACCGCTTAAATTACTCTCTCTCTCACTACCATTTTCTCTCTCTACAAGAAGAGACAGTGACCTGGCTGGTAGATCAACCTTGAAAATTTATTATCCAATAATTAAGCAAAGGTTTTGAAGAATTTATTATTGGACCTCCAAAAGCTTTGGCGCATTTGACAACCTTACCGTTTGGTACGTGGGACGGGACGAGACGGAACGGGACGAGCCGTTCCGTCCCACGTTTGGTGCGCCTAAAAATTGTGGAACAGGTTGTCCCATGAGACGAAATTTGGCTGATTTTTCTTTCCACATCTTTCCCCTGGAACGACCCGTTCCACATCCGTGGAACACAAATTTATAATATTTTATGACAAAATTTCTCCTTATCTTTTTCAATATTTACATCATCCGTTCCATCCTGTTCCGTCCCGTCCCATCCCGTTCCGTTTCGTCCCGTCTACGTACCAAACGGTAATCGGTGATGGGCTTTCCTCCTTCTTCATCTCACCTTCGTCTCCCTTCTTCATCTCACCCCCGTCGTTGCTGGCAGCGTTGTCGCCTCCATTGTTGTTGCTGCCGCAGATCTTATGCGTTAATCTAAGAACAAACACAAACTCATTAATCCAAACACCACAAAACCCAAAAGCATAGAGAGAGGGAGTGATTGAGAAATTAAGAAATTAAAATGGGGTTTGATGGGTTTGAATTCGAATAGGATATGGGGAACTGTTGTACAGTTTCCAATTGCCAACGTGGAAATCTGGGAGAGGGAGTGATGTGTTATCAGGTTACGACATTCAGCATACTGAAAGCCGAATTTGATATTGAACTTCACATAACTAGCAATGTCGTCTTTAAACTCTAGAACTCGAAGACCGAGACATATTCTTTCCTGGGCACAATCGAAAGATTTACAAGTCATTAGTGTGCCCAACGCCCCATCAACATTCATTCACTTCCCGGTTAAGCTCGGCCGACGAGTTGGCATGCCCAGTATTCAACCGAATGACGTAATTAACTTATTAGCTATTCAGCCTGTGCAACACGTAGGCCAAGTAGTTTTTAGGCTTTGATATCACCAATTGTTGTTAGGAAGCTCTTGCGAACATTTTCGAGTGAATTTAAAATAATTTTTTTGGGACACTGTCCTTAAAAAATAATCTGAACTCTCGTTTTTATGATAAGTGTGTTTGTTTCTCGGGGAATGAGAGAAAATGGATGTGAAATTGCATCAAGATTCTTGTTGAAACTGTTGCTGATAGTCCAGATTGTTATTATTTTAATTATTAATATTGTTATTTGTTTGAAATCAAAGTATGTTGTAATTGACAAGAAATTGAGCAAAATCGGCATTTACGAGCATTTCGATGATATGCAACAACAGCAGCAAGGGATAGACACTTGGAGATATGAATATTAAATTTGTAGACTAAATTTTAAAAATTAAAAGACAGATAAATTGATCATTGGTTTATTACTTAGACGTTGATAAACGGGGCTCATTCATATTAATGACACATCATTTAGATTGCAAATTTAGTCTACAAATTCAATCTCACTAACATTACTCTAGAGATATTGGAGGTGCTCATCAATGGGGGCGCGTCTCAGCAGGCATGTGAGGAGGCTTTGTTGGAGGCAAGCTACTTGGGCAGGGCTAGGTCTTCCGAGATGCTCATGGGATCCGACATGATCTGCCCTCAGGCTGTTGTGCATGGACAAGGATTGTCTGTTGTGCATGCTCTTGCTTCCACTTCCTGCAGAGGCTTTGTTGATTAGTTGACACTCTCATCAAGGTAACTTTTAATCAATGATTAATCGAAAAATCCATAAAGGGTTTACGTGTCAATTAGGGCTCGTCCTTATGTAGGGAATAACCTCTGCTCATAAGCACTTTTAAGTTTTTATGTTTTTAATTGAGTCTACATTGCCTAAAACATGATTGTGGACAGCATAAATAGGTGTGAAGTACAATCAAGGTTACCATAACCAAAATCTCTGTGTTTTAATTGCTTGAACATATAACTTTTGTTTGGTGACAGTGATGCTATTGATTAGTGCCGGGTGCAATATCAACTCTCAGACAGAATCTGGAGAAACTGCACTAATGATCTGTGCTAGATATAAACACCAGGAATGCATTAAAATCCTGGCTTCAGACGGTGCTGATTTTGGCATGGTGAATGCTACTGGTCATAGTGCAAGCTTCATTGTAGACTCAGCAAGATGGGCTCTTAACTTCAGACAAGCAGTCGTAGACGTGATTCGATCTGGTGAAACTGTTCAATCAAGCGATACTTCAATATTTTCTCCTCGAATGCTTGTGACTCTAGCAAACGATGTTGATGCTTTGAAGAAACTGATTAAGGGAGCATACGTTAATCTCAATGAGCAGGATGAAAAGGGACACTCAGTTGCCATGATAGCTGTAGACGGTGGTTACCTTGAAACTTTCAAATTGCTTACCGACGCTGGGGCTGAAATGAACCTGCTGAATAAACATGGTCAGACTGCTATGGAACTCTTCGATACAAATCAATATGGCGAAGAATTTGAAAGATTATTGTTTAAGAATGCTGCAACACAAAAGGGACTCGATAGTCATGTTGAGTTTTATGGTACGCACGTCATGCAGCACAACACGGGAAAGTTGATTTAGTCTATACATTGATAAACAATGGTTCTGATGTCAATGCTCTTGATGCTGATGGATACAGTCCGTGAGGAGGCCACGCTACGCTGCGTGAGCTTTTGATTTCTATAAGTCAAAGTAGAACGAATTTTAAGTTTCAAGAAGTAAAATGGTGACTTTTGAGTTACAAAGAGCAAAATGAGGTAAAAAATAGTCTCAGGGGCATAGCTAAAAATAAGCATTAGGTTAATACTGAAATTAGAAATCAACCTTATTATTTATCCGTAATATTAACACATAAAATTTAAGAAATAATTCAAAATTTGAAGGACAAAATTAAATGCATACCTCGTTGTCGGAGCCGATGGACTCGTTGACGAGCAGATTCGGATGGGAAAGAAAGGTGAGTGCGAGTTGTAGAGAGGAGAAAAGGGTGGGTGGGGTTGCAGATGAGAGAAAGGTGGGGGTTGGGTTTTGGGTGAGCTGGGTCGCTGGGTCGCCGGGTGGGGGGTGGGGTGGGGGTGGGTTGGGGGTTCTGAGTGAGGTGTGTTGCGCGTGGGTGGGGGTGGAATGGGGTGATGCCGGGTAGGAGAGGAGAGGGTGATGCGGGGGGGGGGGGGGTTACGGCAGATGTAATGGATTTCTTCTTTTTTTGTTTTGTTTTTTTTTGAGAAAATTCAGGTTTTTAAATTTTTTTTGCCACGTAGCACACATTTGGTAGCACATGGCATAAATGTGGCAGCCACGTAAGCACTTAACAAAACAATGGATGAAAAATGTAACGGATATATTATATTGAAATAAAATAGTACTTGAGGTATGAAAGGGAAATGTTTTGAAGATGTTATATAAGATTGTAATAGACCTCAAACCTGATAGGTTACTATGCAATTTACCCATTTTTTATTTATTTTAAATTTACTACTATGAGTTTGAAACTATTACAATAATTCACGGGATTCGAACCTGTGATGCATGGGTACAAATCCAACCCATTCACTAGAATATTTGATCACATGCAAATAATTGTGTACAATGATAATGCACATGAAATATGAGTCCGAAAAACCTAAATGAGCTCCTAACAATAATTTAGAGAGGATTTAAAAAAAAGTCAACTCTAATCATGCTCTATATCCGCCTCCTAGGATGGTAATTCATCTAGGAGCTCTTGCTCTCCATATATAATGCTAATTGATTTAATATTATTTTAAATAATTAATTAATTCTTATTAGCTAATTATTAAGTCATAGCCATTTTAACTCACTAAAGTAGAGAGTATGTTTGTAGTACAACTTTCTTGAAGATCACCCTAAACCATCGCTGAAAGAGGTGTCAAATTTTATACATAAAATTTCATTCGACAATTTATGCGGCACTTTGACACTTTTAAAGTTTTACTTTTCACCTAATATGTCAAATTAAATTATTATTTTATCATATTATTTTCATAATTTCTGTTTTATATTTTAATTTTTACCTATAATATGTCAATTTAAACTATTATTTTATTATTATTATTATTATTTCATAATTTCTGTTTAAATTTCACATATAAAAATCATTTATAATAAAAATTATATTAATTAACAATGGCGTACAAATACAAATAATTCAGCAAAAGAAAACTTATCAATCGAAAATAGTATAAATAAGTACGGTGGGATGTCGGTCAGCAAAGTAATTCGTTTACAACAACAACAACAACAAAGCCTTTTCCCACTAAGTGGGGTCGGCTATATGAATCCTAGAACGCCATTGCGCTCGGTTTTGTGTCATGTCCTCCGTTAGATCCAAGTACTCAAGTCTTTTCTTAAGGTCTTTTCCAAAGTTTTCCTAGGTCTTCCTCTACCCCTTCGGCCCTGAACCTCTGTCCCGTAGTCACATTTTCGAACCGGAGCGTCAGTAGGCCTTCTTTGCACATGTTCAAACCACCGGAACCGATTTTCTCTCATATTTCCTTCAATTTTGGCTACTCCTACTTTACCTCGGATATCCTCATTCCCAATCTTATCCTTTCTCGTGTGCCCATACATCCCACGAAGCATCCTCATCTCCGCTACACCCATTTTGTGTACGTGTTGATGCTTCACCGCCCAACATTCTGTGCCATACAACATCGCTGGCCTTATTGCCGTCTTATAAAATTTTCCCTTGAGCTTCAGTGGCCTACGACGGTCACACAACACGCCGGATGCACTCTTACACTTCATCCATCCAGCTTGTATTCTATGGTTGAGATCTCCATCTAATTCTCCGTTCTCTTGCAAGATAGATCCTAGGTAGCGAAAACGGTCACTTTTTGTGATCTTCGGTAGATTGCTCCGGTCATTAGTGTGGATAAGTATATAAATGGATAGAGATAGGAAAGCAAACACAAGATGTACGTGGTTCACCCAGATTGGCTACGTCCACGGAATAGAGGAGTTCTTACTAATTGTGAAGGGTTTACACAAGTACATAGGTTCAAGCTCTCCTTTAGTGAGTACAAGTGAATGATTTAGTACAAATGACATTAGGAAATATTGTGGGAGAATGATCTCGTAACCACGAAACTTCTAAGTACCGGAGTGTGGTATCGTCTTGACTTTCCTTATCTGTCTCATAGGTAGATGTGGCATCTTCTCTGGAAGTACTCTTCTTCCATCCAGGGATGGTATCTTGTAACTGGTGGAGATGCACAAGGTAATGTATCAATTTCACTTGAAGCTTACTTGTAGTTTCAGGCTTGGTCAAGCGCGATACAAACCATGTAGTAGGAGTCCCCCAAGTCGCCGAGCTAGGGGATCTGCTGAAAGAGGTGACAGACAAGGTAAACAATCAGAGCTCCGGCTGATTGTTCACATTCTCCCTATCTTGCAGGCAGCATGAAGGATAAAGAGAAGAAAAATGAGAAGAGATGATATGGGATACTTCTGCTTTTGAAGAAGTAACTTTCCACATGCTTATTCTTGAACTGGGCTGGAGGGTTTTCTGGTTTCCTCCAGAGTATAAGGCCGACTGAAGAATTTGAGGGTCAAAACAAGTCCATCAAATCTAGAGTACGTTCGACCCTGCTGATATGGGATACTTTTGCTTTTGACAGAGTAGTGGATGTATCGGCACGTGTGCTGTTACGCTTGTCTCCACATGCTTCCTTGTATCCTTCTCACTTGCCCTATCTGTTCCTCAGGCAGATGCGGTATCTTCCCTGGAAGCATAAGATGTTGAAGATGAGTACTCGAGAGCAATGCCAGGTAAGTAATCAGGTAAGGGGTTCCAGGCAGTCAGTTCCTGGCTGGAAGCTTGATTCCAAGTGCTGACTGATTGCTCTCTTTTCTCCTTGTCTTGCAGGTAAGAACAAGGCCAAAGGAAAAGACAGGGAAAAAGCATGATATGGGATACTCTTGCTTTTAACCCTGATGATATGAGATATTCTTGCTCTAGTATAGCTTGTTTACAGAGGTATTATCGGGGGGAAAGAAAGCTGAATATTTCGAAAGGCTTCGTTGGGAGTGCCCTCTCAGATAAGAGGAAGGGTTGAGCATTTTTTGCAGGTCTGCCTGTCCGTTGGGGATGGAGGTCGACATATATAGGAGTCTCCCTAACATCAAGTAATAATGCTATTCCTTTACCCTGCTTGGTCATAGCACGGTAGTGGGAGCTGCCAGCTTCACAAGTTTTAACTCTGTCAGAGCACTTTGAAAAAGTGGTCTGTGATATCTGGAAAGTGGCGCCTATTCGGTTTTCGAACAAGCAATCCTGTCGGGGATCTGGCTCTCGAGATTCGGAGAACGATGCCTCTTCGATTTTTGAGAAAGCTATGCTGCTGGGGGTCTGGCTCTTGAGATTCGGAGAGCGGTGTTTTCGATTTTTGAGAAAGTAATCATGTTGGGAGTCTGGCTCTCGAGGGCATGTTTGCTAGTCTACCTTGCCACGAAGCACAGAGGTTGACACACATGGACTTTCCAATTATCCAGCAGTGGTACTGTTCCTTTACTCTCTCTTCGATTTTTGAGAAAGTAATCATGTTAGGAGTCTGGCTCTCGAGATTCGGAGGGCGGTGCCTCTTCGATTTTGGAGCAAGCAATCTTGTTGGGAGTGTTTTCTCGAATGTGAGTAAAGGTTAGGCATGTTTGCTAGTCTACCTTGCCACGAAGCACAGAGGTTGACACACAAGGACTTTCCAATTATCCAGCAGTGGTACTGTTCCTTTACCCTCTATTCGATTTTTGAGAAAGTAATCATGTTGGGAGTCTGGCTCTCGAGATTCGGAGGGCGGTGCCTCTTCGATTTTGGAGCAAGCAATCTTGTTGGGAGTGTTTTCTCGAATGTGAGTAAAGGTTGGGCATGTTTGCTAGTCTACCTTGCCACGAAGCACAGAGGTTGACACACCGGGACTTTCCAATTATCCAGCAGTGGTACTGTTCCTTTACCCTTGTGGGTAATAATATGGTAGCTAGACCTTCAAAATTTATGTGTCTAAACTTTGTTAGTGTTGTTTCTTTGCTATTCTTTTACCCTTCTTGGTCAGAGCGATGTAGTGGGAGCTGCAAGCTTCACGTGTCTCAACTTTGTCAGAGAACTTTGGCAAAGTTATATGTGGTACCCATGAGCTACTGTTGCGTGTGGGAAGTGGGTGATTGAACAGTAACGATTCATGTGCTTTCTACTTCGCCAGAAATCTTCGACAGAATGCCCATAATTTCCGCAAAGCTGAGTGTGCGTGTGACAGGTGCTGACAAGGCTGGAAAAGTAGGTGCCTCTTCGATTTCTGAGATCGGCCCTCGTGGTCTCTGAGCAGCCCAGCTTTTGAGAAAGCAAGCGCCTCTTCGATTTCTGAGATCGGCCTTCGTGGTCTTTGAGCAGCCCAGCTTTTGAGAAAGCAAACGCCTCTTTGATTTCTGAGATCGACCCTCGTGGTCTCTGAGCAGCCCAGCTTTTGAGAAAGCAAACGCCTCTTCGATTTCTGAGCAGGCGCCTCTTCGATTTCTGAAGCTTCGTCGAGTGCAGATTTTTATAGGGGCTGACATTAAGTTCCAAAGCACACACTTGAATATCCACCAGTAGAAGCTCCATTCTTGCACTTCTAAGATCTTGATTTGTCCGACCTCTTCTCTCTTCAACACCTTTGAAAATGTCTGGCCCCTCCGACCGTCGTTTTGACTTGAACCTTGTTGAAGAGGCAGCCCCGCCTTCTCCAGACAACATATGGCGCCCATCCTTCGTCTCCCCTACTGGTCCTCTTACCGTTGGGGATTCCGTGATGAAGAATGATATGACCGCTGCGGTAGTGGCCAGGAACCTTCTCACTCCCAAAGATAACAGACTACTTTCCAAACGGTCTGATGAGTTGGCTGTTAAGGATTCTCTGGCTCTCAGTGTTCAGTGTGCAGGTTCTGTGTCTAATATGGCCCAACGCCTATTTGCTCGAACCCGCCAAGTTGAATCATTGGCGGCTGAAGTGATGAGTCTCAAACAGGAGATTAGAGGGCTCAAGCATGAGAATAAACAGTTGCACCGGCTCGCACATGACTATGCTACAAACATGAAGAGGA